TTTTGCGTTGTTGTTGGTATGACTCGGATCAGTTCCTCAAGGTGCTGGCAGAATAGACGATGGTCGCAACGGGGTGGTCGGTAGACGCATGTTGCGTTGATGGTGCGGTCGTTGGCTGACAGTTTCAGCGATAATAGGTCAAAGTTGTCTGGGGTTGCTGTAGGGACGAGTTCATGAGGTATAGTGTCGTTCACGTAGAGAATCCCTCCTCCACCTTGGCGATCTGGGCGGTCTGCATGATGTAGTGTGTAACGACTGAGGGCAAATAGGGAGTCTGGGTCGTGCTGGGTACACCATGTTTCAGAGACATCAATGACATCATAATGACATCATCAGGTGGCGTTCTTGACAATTACTGTTGTTGTTGTGCTTTTTTTATAGTCGTTCAAACAAACAGGCAATGCTGCCTTCACGTGTGTGCGTGTATGTGCACGTGCGTGCATGAATGTGAAAGAGTGCACTTGTGTGTGCACAGTTATAGCATTGAGTCTAAAACCTCAACCACTGACGATATCTAGATGTTGGTGCATTCTGCCCTGTCATCATACTGACATTATTACCAGGCAGGCACAGTGGGTTGGTCAAAGACAGTTTTCCACATAACATAACTCTCGATAGACCAGGCAGGCACAGTGGGTTGGTCAAAGACCATGATTGAGATACGAGAGGTACCTGGTTCAAGTCCTGTTTGGGAGCGGTTTTTCCAGCCGTGCTGCTACCCACAGTCAACTGAGAACTTGTGGCCAGGCACAAGGGGTACATGGATGCAGTTATTGGGTTCGTTTTCGGCACTTGTGCCAGTGGTTGTGAGACGTATCCACTCACACCCACCGTTAGGCGCGGCATCTGCCGCTATGGTTTACCGGGTGTTAGCGGCCGTCGTAAGTTCCCTTCAGGAACGGACACGATAATTTACTTTTTTTAATATTATACTGACATGAATCGTCAACGACTGTTCAAATATTTTGGAGTGGAGTATCTCAGGGTGGAGTATTTTCGCTAAATCATCGCAGGCCTCACACTCTTCTTCACCAATGGCAACTGTTTCACCCTGAGTTTCATCACCATACAGGCATACTCGTCACGGCCAGCAAAACGGGATCGCCAATCTCTTCACGAGCCGTCTCCAAGTCATCGTTTATGGTTCAGATTGAGTCGCCTGTCTGCTGAAGAACAGAACTCCCACAGGCAGCCAACGCAGTAGCAGATTCAGAAGATGACGTCGGCCGGGAGACGAAGGAAAACATCAGGCAACCGTAAGCTAATTGTATCGCGATACACCTCAAATGTCCCAGACAAAAACAAACAAAAAATTTAAGACGGGCACTCACCGGTGCCGGGTTGCCTCGTTGGAGATTCACCAAACAGTTCTTCGCCTCCCCCTTCGATCTCACGCGCTTCACAGATCGACTGCACTCCACTTGAAGTGACATGGCAAAGCAGCCCCGTCTTCAGATGTCACGACACTAACTAATCTTACGCGAGGATGAAAAGAGAAAGGACCTGACCGAAATGCTCCGGCATAGCTGCTGCTGGGTGTGAGCCTGATCGACTAAACAAAACAAAAACAACGTTCTCAGTCAACAACACGGCCAGCTACAAGTAGTGCATGCTGCATGCAGCCAGTTGTACGATCTCAGTCACCAACACGGCCAGCTGCAAGTAGTGCATGCTGCATGCAGCCAGTTGTACGATCTCAGTCACCAACACGGCCAGCTACAAGTAGTGCATGCTGCATGCAGCCAGTTGTACGATCTCAGTCAACAACACGGCCAGCTACAAGTAGTGCATGCTGCATGCAGCCAGTTGTACGATCTCAGTCACCAACACGGCCAGCTACATGTACAAGTACGTAGTGCATGCTGCATGCAGCCAGTTGTACGATCTCAGTCACCAACACGGCCAGCTACAAGTAGTGCATGCTGCATGCAGCCAGCCGTACATTTACACCGTCTACACTGTACACTGCATGTATGGCCAGCTAGTACAGCGCATGCACGCGGATCATGGGCCAGGCCGCGCCCGGGGTGACCGGCGCAAAAAGATGCGCAGAAGACCCTCATTCCATGTTGACTTCTTTTCCTACGTTCCCAGTACATTGGGGTCCTTTTGGACCCCAGGAACGTTTTGGGTGGTATTCTTGCAAACTCTCCATTTTATTTATTTTTGCTGCATTACCTTCCCATAGACCAATTCTTTGACCAAAACTGCATTAATTTTGTTGACAGCTCTGAAGTTTGTCGGGATTATTTGCAAGTTTGCAAGAATACCACCGAAAACGTTCCTGGGGTCCAAAAGGACCCCAATATACTGGGAACGTAGGAAAAAAGTCAACATGGAATGAGGGATTACGGCTGAAGAAGAACATTTCCTTGTACGGCCTCATACTTCAGTGGATGTCATTCGAATGTATTCGGTAACCGTGGAGATACATACCAAAAGTATCGCAATTGTTGCACTTCCCTGTGTTCTATGTTACTGGGGTCCATTTGGACCCTGCCCGCATTTTCATAAAAGTGAAATCCGTCATGAATCTCTAACCCAGACTATTTATTTATCTCATTTATTGCGTTGTTAGGGAATACATGAAGTTTCGGGGAGATGTGATGCAGAAGAGTAAAAATCATACCCCAAATCATACCCCTGAGGTCCGTTTGGACCCCACAACCCGGAATGAGGGTTAAATCAATTTGGTGCTGACCAATTTGCAAACTGATTCTCATCTGCGTGTGCTCTCTTTGCTCAGAATTGTATACTGGATTTCCCCCGCCAACCAGTGCATCATTGGTCCAAGGGAATGTAGTGAATCTCACATATCCTTTTGTCTTTGGCTCTAAGTTCACCTCATATAACCAAGTGACGGTAAGGTGATACCGAGATGCATCCACGCTAGTTATGTACCCACCACTGACATTGTATTATTCTCGTTTTCTTTAAGAAAAGATGAATGAACAGGCAGTCAAGTCAGACCTGTTCGCATTTCTCAATCAAGTGAACTGATTACAGAAAGGAAGTGAAAGAGAGAAAGCATGCATTGTCCACCACTTCCAAGTGGAGTATGCACTCACAGCTCCGAACGAAATCTTTTCTCATTTCACTCCACCTTGATGGATTTTCATCGTCCTGGGCTCGTTGGAAAGATCAGGACCAAGCGAATCCATCCTGGCAGCTCTCAGCTCTATAGACACATCAGGGCTACTTCCACGTCCTCTCCGAACTATTCCACTGTGCCTCGGAATGGCACAACAACTCAATTTCACATTCTTGTTCGGCTTCTTGCCCAAATAATCCACAGATTTTCACAATTCAAACTGTGCTGCAAAGCTCAGATCCAAGCGCTTAATTTGATGTCCATCACGCATGCGCCGTGCCAAAGGGAATCCCCTGGCACGCTCCTCAACAAAAAGAAGTCATGAACAAAACAATTCGCGTCACTCTGGGCCGTGATTTCGGTGTTCATCTTGTCGCCGCTCAATGAATTCTTATCCTATCCCGAAGAACTTTATGTGCCCGGAAAGATGGGGTCAAGACCTTTCCAACGGTGTATTGATTGTCGCGATGCGTTTGTGTCTGACGAAGTTACGAAAGTGTGTACACTGATCTATGCACTGCGATATATCGCACGATTTTTTTGCGAGTTAACTCGTACGTAGTGGATCAGGTCATGCATAAAGTGCGAGTTAACTCGTACTCAGCACGCAAAGGGTTAAACGTCCCTCCTAAGTTACTGCAACAGGAGTCAGTTGGTTTGTGCTTCAAGAGGAGAAGGGAAAGTTTTCTCACACACTCAATCTACATTGCTTTGGTATATGTTTCTCCACCAGGTGTCTCTTGATGGCCTAATGTCCCTGAATGGTTTTTCCGGAGGCTACAATTTGAACGCAAGGGTGAGAGAGGAGCGTGCCATTGTCGCCCCCTACTGGACATCGCGCTCTGGAAACCAGGCCTGTTCCAATGGAACCGTGAAAATACATCACTTCAACGAGACTGTCGACAAGGCTACGTTTGATGCTATCAAAGAGTTGACTAAGAAGGCCGTTCAGTTGTCTAATCCCAGTGAGGAGTTTAGGCCACGTGAGGCCGTTTTTGTAACCTGGTTGGAAATCCCTGAAAATGACCAAAACAACAAGGTAAAGTGAAAATTCTAAACAGGTATGCCATGTGGTGACGTCATATCTGCCAAGAATTAATCTGCATTCGACTTTACTATTTCTTTACTATTTCTTATTCAAATAATCTACGTGGAGATAAAAGTTTAATAATAGCTATGAAAAGTATGAATGCCGCAGACATCACCACGCAACATGACTATTTGTTCAAGGTTTGGTTTTGTGTGTTTCCAAAATCGAATTTCACTGATGATCGGAGCATGAAAATCGATTTTGGAAACACACAAAACCAAACCTTGAACAAATTGTCATGTTGCGTGGTGATGTCTGCGGCATTCATACTTTTCATAGCTATTATTTCTTATTCACATGGAGAATCCAATAGTAGTAAGTGCGGGGCGGGTTCTGGCCCACTTTTTGACCTTTGACCTTTGGGCCAAATAAGGCACACTGTGTCGGTCGTGCTTGGTCTGGCCCCGGGACTCCCCCAGGGTTTGACCTTTGACCTTTGGGTTGAATAAGGCACACTGTATCGGGCGCGCTTGGTCTGGCCTCGGGACCCCCTAGGGTTTGACCTTTGGCCCTGCCATGTCATAAATGTCATCATGTTCTTTTCCGTGGCGACCGTGCACTTGTGCACGTTCGGTGCATTCATTTCACCGGGGAGTAGTAAAATACGTACTACTCCCTGATTTGCACATCGTAGATGTGCAGTGAATGACATATTGCGCATGCGCGCATAAGCACGCGGAGCGTGCGACCTTCAGTGGCCCTGCGGAAAAGACGCAGTGCAACACAAGGTGGACTAATTAGTTAGTGTACACGTGTCATTATACTAGTGTGATAGCCGACCTCATATACGCTGTACGAGGAGATTTTTCCTCAGTATGTTGTAGGCAGTGCTGGAGGTTACGTGACGATGGCGGAGCCAAGTGCAAAAAGATCCAGGCAGCCCAGACAGCCCACCTCGAGTGCCGTGCGAGGTTTTTTGAAAAAGTTTTCTTTGCCAGGTTCAGGCACTGATCCTCTCGTCTTTTTCAGCAGCCATCATGACGAGCTCCGACAGGTTCTGCTCGAGGAGCTTCAGTCTCACCCTTTCAAGGTGGTTTTAGTTTTGAGGGTGGAGATGACACGAGAGTCGGCCACGGGTAGTACGTCTGCCTTCCCGTTTTTTAGAAGTAGACCGGCTCGGATCCTCAGCGAAGGGGATATTGATAGTGCAGTCAAGACGATGGTGGCGAGGATCACTGGTCTTATTGATAAGTGGGTGCAGAACGGATCTGACTGGACCGTTTCTCGAGTGAGACAGCTGGATGTGTCGACAGCAAAGTACACTCCTCTTCGAGGTGAGTTTCTGTTCATCCGGCAGTGTTTGTTCGAAGCCTGTCGAATTTCTTGTGGAAAGTTGAAGATGTATGTTTTGTACCAGATGTACAGTCTTTCGTGATTGTCGAGAGGGTGTAGTTGTAATGTGGTGTAACTCTGAGAAAAACCTTCGTTGTATTTTTGTGGTGTTCTGTAGGTGGTGCAGCTGATATCCCGCCCAAATTAGAAAAAAAGAAGGCCATCATTAACGTAAAGAACAACGATGACAGGTGTTTGATGTGGGCGTTATTGTCAGCGATGCATCCCATCGACAACAACCCACAGCGTGTATCCAGGTACACCCAGTACGTTGATGAGCTGCGGTTCGATGGTGTGATGTTCCCTGCAACGCTCAGTGATGTACCCAAAGTGGAGTTACAGAATGGTCTTGCAATCAATGTGTTTGGCTACGAGGGGAATCTGTACCCACTGTATCTCAGCGAGCGACAGGAGACTCCAATCAACCTGCTTCTACATGACAACCACTTCACATGGATAAAAAACTTCAGTCGTGCATGTGAGAATAAGAACAAGCGGGCAACACACTATTGCTTCCGATGCCTCTCCGCACACAAAACAGCAGACTCCCTGCAGCATCACAGCGAGAGATGTCAGGTGATGAAGCCTGTGCCAGTAGTCATGCCCACAGCAAAGGACAGCATCCTCAAATATACAAATTTGAAGCACAGGATGGTGGCTCCATATATCATTTACGCTGATACGGAGGCCATCATTGAGCCGATGGAGGAACAGCATGGCAGCAGCACTGTACGCACAGCCCGTCATGTACCATGCAGCATCAGGTATGTTTTGTTGTTGGTGTTGTTTTTGACTAATTTTTGCTGTACTCATGCCTGCACAGTGCTTCCTGTTATTTTCTTCTTGTCTTGTTCTCCCCTGATTGTGTTCGTATTGTAGTATGTGCATTTTGTGTGATTCCATTTTTTCAAAAAATCACTTATTCTTACTTTCCCTCTTCTTTTATGCTCTTGTAGATATGCTGCCATCCGATCCAACGGTGAAGTCCGTGGCGAGTTTGACGACTGCAGTGAGAATGCCATTCACAACTTTTTCGACAGTCTCAAAGAGTTGGAAGGCAGTATCCAGGAGGATTTGGCTGATATCAGGCCAATTCGCATGACGGCAGAACTGGAGCTTGAGTTTCAGAACGCAGTCAACTGCTGGATATGTGATGAAGTACTTGGAGAAGATCGTGTTCGTGATCATGATCATCTCACTGGTAAGTATTATAATTTTTTGTTTATTTTTGTTGTTTTGCAGTTGTGTGTAGATATGCGTATGTGTATAGTGCATTTTCATGTCTTTGTAGCTGTTTGCATCTGTGTTTTATCACGGTGTATTGAATTGTATTGTCTGTGGTATCACCTTCACTGTAGATGTTTACTATGTTTGTGTATTCCCCTCTTTCTGAATATCTGCACAGGCAACTACCGTGGTGCTGCACACTACCAGTGTAATATTCAGCTGAGTATCTACCCAGATCGCCAGATCATTCCGGTTGTGTTTCACAACCTGAAAGGGTACGATGCTCACCACCTCATCGCCCACATTGGTATGACCGAGGTTGAAGAGGTGGAGTACGAGGACTCTAACCAGCGTAAGCGGATTAAGAAGGTTGGTGAGATCAGTGTCATCGCCAACAACATGGAGAAATATATTTCATTCAAGTGGCGCCAGTACCGCTTCATTGACTCCATGGCCTTCTTGAACTCCTCTCTGGACTCGTTGGTGAGCAACACCCCGGAAGATGCCTTCAAGCTTACTCGTACATTGGCCCATCATGACCTTCTCCTGCGTAAGGGTGTCTACCCCTACGAGTACATGGACTC